CTCCTCCGACAAACCCATGTCGCTCTTGGCCCCCGTCGCAGCGAGGTTGTCCTTGTGTGTCGCGTTCAACGCGTCGAGCTCGGCCTGCTTGCGCTTCTTCTCGGCCTCTTTCTCCGCGGCGACCTTCTCCCGAGCCGCGAGCATCTCCTCCGACAAACCCATGTCGCTCTTGGCTCCCGTCGCGGCGAGGTTGTCCTTGTGCGTCGCGTTCAACGCATCCAACTCGGCCTGCTTGCGCTTCTTCTCCGCCTCCTTCTCGGCGGCGACCTTCTCCCGGGCCGCGAGCGTCTCCTCGCTCAAACCCATGTCGGACTTCGCGCTCACGGACGCGCGCGCCTTCTTCTGCTCCGCGTTCTGCCGCTTGATCTCCGCCTCCCGCGCGGCCTTCTCGGCGCGACGCTCGGCGACGGTCTTCCGCCCTTGCTGCCGCCGAACCTGGGATTGGAGCATCGTCGCAGCGCCATTGTCGTTCACCTCCTTCTTCTTCTTTTGCGCCGAATTCATCTTGGGCTTCGTCGGGACGGCGGCTCTCGGAGACCCTTCGACCTTGGACGGCTTGGCGCCGCCGGGCGGCTGGGGACCCGCCATGGCTGGTGCGATCCCGACGACGCTCTGCGACGTTCCGGCCGCCCCGACGTTTCAGCCCATGCAACGTCGGCTCCGAAGATTTCGCGAATTTGAGTGCAGCCCGCCCTCTCCGACACCTGGTGGCGGCGCGAGACCGCGACGATGACGATCAAGCTGTCCATCGACGACCTCGAGCCGGACCGGCCCCCGGGTACCATCGGCGCGCCGCCGGGCCTCTTCGGCGGCAATCGCTCCGCCGCGCCGCCCGCCGGCGGCTTCCAGGAGGAGCTCCGGCGGGGCACGGCCATGGGGCTGCCCCCGGGCTTCGCGCCGCCGCTCGACGACGCGGCGCTGGGGCGGCCCTTCGTCGTCACGGGCAAGAGCGGCGTCGTCGTGCGCGGCGACGCGTCGCTCGACTCGAGCGCCGTCGGGGAGGTCAAGTTCGGCGCGTCGGTGTTGGTGGTCGAGACGCGCGAGGTCCTGCGCAGCGGCCGCGTCGTCGAGCGCGCGCGGCTGAGCGCGCCCGTGGCCGGCTGGTGCAGCCTGCGCCTCCTCGCGCTCAGCGAGGGCGCCGAGGACGAGGACGTCGCGCGCGCGCTCGCGCTGAGCCTCGGCGAGTCCGGCGAGGCGCCGCGCGAGCACCCGGCGGAGCGCGTCGCGCCGGGCCGGCCGCGGCCGCTGTCGGGCTCCTCGAGCGACGCGCCGCCGCCGGGCCTCTTCAGCCAGCGCGCGCCGACGCGGCCGGGCGCGCCCGCGGCGGCCGCGGCCGCGCGCGACGC